CCCCAAAACCCCAAAACCCCAAAACCCCAGTGAGAGGGATTCAGTTTCCCTAAAATTTTTAATTTGGATATAAATTTAAATTTAAACAATTAATAATTAATGGAAGTTAGTCTTGACTTGAATTTGTTAAGGGAAAGTCTGATAATAGCCTAATAAAGAATTGATGTCTCAATGAAATTTGTTGAAAATCATGTTTAGCCTTGAGAAGAATTTAACTATGATATATTTAAGGATAATCTACGGTTGATATTGAAGAATTCAATAAAGATTTCTGATTATAATTTGCTGGATCAAGTATTCTAGCATCACGTTATATATTTTTCGAACAACAATGATAAAATGTTTTCTACTAGTTTTACTCAGCGAATTAGAAGAAATATTATTCACTCTTTAGAAAAGATGATAAATATAGTCTTTAAAATGTAATAAAATATCATTTCAAAGATCTTAATCAAGAACTAGCATGAATTGAAGAAGCTGTTTTAATCTATACTAATACTTCATGAATCTTGCAATCAATGCTAATATGCCCGTAAAATTCTTGATTGCTATTATCAAAGTCTTACAGATAAATCCCCTATATTTTAGAATTAAAATGATTAATTCTTGTTTTTACTCGAAATATTCTGCTAGGGGTTTAATATAATTGACACAAATTAAAGTCATAACTAGTTTCCCTTACATAAAGCAATCTTTGACAATAATTTACCAATGATAAGAAAACTCTGCATTCTATAAAATCAATTAGATACTGATAGTATTCCCCTCTATCTTGATTTAAACAGTATAGACTACTATGGAAATACTGCATTGAAGCTTGCTCACAATTTAGGAAATTTAGATGCTATTAGAGTGCTATGTGATCATGGCCTTAATTCAAAGTTAAAACCTTTGCCCTTCATTGATAGTCCTTATGAGCTTGCTATTAAACAAAAAAACAGAGAAATCTTGAAAATATATGTTCAATCAAATTAAAAGTTGAAATAAGCCTACATCGATGACAACAAAAAAGAGCTATTCGATGTGCTTGAAACACTTCCTGATTTCTAAATAGATATGAGCTTTGAATGTGAATCCAATTTTATTCCGTTTTTAAGATCATTTGCTCCACATGATATTTTCAAAATTTATAAATAGAAAAGTTCTATCAGACTTGATTTCTCAAATAATTCTATTAAAAATCAAATCACTAATAACTCTTAGAGAGATAAAAGTAATAGCAAAAATTTCATTACATAGTCATCATTTTTATTTAAAGGAAGGAATGATTTCAATGAAGGAGAATTACTTTATGCTGAACATAGCATTCAAGAAGATGGTAAAATATAATCTGGTTATTCAATTAATGTATTAACTGATATGTATCTAAACCGCATTGATCAGGAAATAGATAAATTACTAAAGAAAAAAGAAAAAGCTAAGCTCTATGAGGCAGTATCATTCAAGCTAGAAACTTAAAGAGACTGGAAAGGACAATTTTTATGCAAACAGATTGAGGGATATTAAGCTGTCAAAATGAAGGCTAATGCTAGCTTTAACATTACCTATTAAGACATAGATGATTGTATTGAAATTTCATTGCTTAAACAATAGAAAGCATAAAACTTTGAAGCTTATTTTAATCTTAGTAAAGTAGATGCAGGAAATCTCCTTGGATATATAAAATCTCAATAGTAAAAAAAACCAAGGAATACTAGTAATAAAAAGAAGAAAACAGATAATAAAGATGTTAAAGTTGAAATGTGGGCAGTGAGGGATTTCCCAATTAACATAGCAACTTTGAGACCACTGTTTCACATAATGGGTTTCGCATCTAAAAACATCTCTAAATTCAATGATTTTCTTTTTAATTAGGCTTAGATTCCAAGCGAATTCTTTCCAATTTAGGCTTAAATCCCACTTTTTATGACAATTAAGGCTAACATTTAGTTTGGGAGATTTTCATTTCTATCTAAATAAAACTAACTCCCAAGTAGCTTTTTCAACATAGATGAAGAAATCTTGAAAATTTAAAAATCCAGAGAATTCCTACTAAATATCAACTAAATAGTAATTGAGGATATAAACTATGATAAACTTTTCAAAGATTTAAATATAAAAGCAGAAATCGTAAACGAGAGCAGCCAGAATATTGACTCTCGAATGGTTTATAACAATTATTCAATAACTTCTGAGCAAGGGTAACAGTTATTTGCCACTATGATGAATAAACAGGGTGATGTGACTCAAACTACCTTTACAGAAATCATCTCTCAAGATTTCTCAGAAAAAATACATACCGATTCTGTAATCAGAATGGACTATAGACAATAGCTATCAAATCAAGGAATGATTAAAAATTTTAAGACAATGAAAGACATTAATGAAAGCAAGCATAATAATTAGTCAAGATAATATGGATCAAATTAAAAACCAAGACAAATCAAGATGTCTAATATAACAACTTAACTTGTCAATCAAAGCATGATTTAATAGTAATAATCATAGAAATATAACTCAGAAGAAAAGGATACACTAAAGAAAAAGGTTGTAGCATTAGTAAATACCTAGCTAATTAGACCTTCAAGAATTATAGAAGCCGAAAATGTAATGGACTCTAGGAATTTTACTAATTAACAAATTTAGGCTATAAAATCTATAAAGCTGCCCTAGTAGAAAAGTTTAGAATCTCTAAACAGCTTTTTGAAGTCAAATACAAAACCTGATAATAGTAATCATCTGAATAAAGTATATAAAAACATTAAGAATATTATTAGATTCAACTAGAAATAAGCACCTGTTGAATACAATACTAAAGCAACATTAGGTGGACTTACAGCTGCTACTGAAGGTAACAATTTCAATACAAACTAAATTAAAATCTATGGAAGTATCTAAGGTTTGATAAATAGTAAAAATACAGTCGATAATAGAAGTGAAGACGTCTCTCTAACAATGATTCCAAGTTAATCTACAATAGATATGCGTGATTAGCATAAAGTCTAGTAACTTTAAGAAGAAAAAAACACTAATGCTCGGAAGCCAGTCTTAGACATGAGAAAGTATTCATCTCAAGAAAATAATCATATTGGAAAGAAACCATTTTAAATGGGTAAAGTATCATTTCAAAGAGACTTTAAAAGATCTGAGTCCTCTTCTTTCAGGGAAAATTCAAAGTTAAACAATACCAGCTTTGTAAAAGCCACCAGTCTTTAAAGAAATAAAAAAGTCATTGATGCTGATGCTGGCTAATTCTTGATTATGAATACATGGGGCAATCAGTAGTTTCAATAGTTTTAAACTAATTCTCAGGGCACTAACAGTCTCAGACAAAGTCCCTTAATACAACATGGCTTTCAAAAGCAGAGTCAATAGTACTCTCCTGTGGCTATAAATTCAAAGAAAAACTTAAATAATCTTAATTTCTTTTGAATAAAGCTATAATTATTTAATAAGAAAATATAAATTAATTTCATTAATAATTTTTTGCATATTTTTATTCACGGGGTTTTGGGGTTTTGGGG